ATGGGAGGGGGGGGGGAGGAGCCATGGTGGTGTTGCAGTGCGACCTTTAAAAAAGGTGCACCACACAGTCAAGGAGAGGAAGGAAAGGAAGAGAATGGAGGGAGTACAAGCCCCGGAAGATGTATGCTGCGAAGAAGGTCTTGACAGTAAGCAGGACCAGCAGAGGACCCAGGGTGGATACACTGTGTGGAAGCCCTCCCCTCCGCCCCCCAAGGTATGCATACAAAAGGATTAAGGACCCCAACAACAGGCTACACAGGTAGTGGGCCGAGAGCATGGAGAAAGGGGTAGGAAATGGCCCGGGATGGGGCCTTGTTTAGAGCCCATGGGTTGACACGTTACGGGTAGTGGCCAAAGGGAGAGTGCATTTTTCCCCCCAGGACCCTGAGCCGAGACCCAGTGGAGAGGGTGGGCCTGGTCCCCCTTCTCCGGTGCCTGAGGGCGACGGTAGGGGCTCATTGGTACTGCGTGAATTGTGGCTCGAAGGCTGTGTATGACGACCCCCAGGAACAGGTAAGGGGGTGACATATATAGCACAGCAAAGTGGCCAAAAGAGTCAAGGCCACAGAACTCATGGGAGTGGGGAGCTGCGTGGAACATTGGGACACTGGTGAGGGGAATATAATTATATTGTAAGGACGACATAGGAAACCCCGTGTGAGTGCCCTCCCCTTTTGAGGTGGGGCAACAGAAAAGGGGGCGTGCCCTCCGTTCTCTGAGGGCCACCCTACAGTGTGGTTCAGGTGCCTCCTGACCTGCCTGGATATGGGGGAGCAGAACACCCCCAGGTGGGGGCCACATGTGTGCTCCACAGCATCGTGGAGAGGGAGGGAGAGGAGTTCCTTCCAGGGTGGGGTGCAGAGGCCGACAATGGGCCTTTTAGCAGCCATGCACAGATGCCCTCCAGCAGACCCATCAGGCAGGGGTGTGCATCTGGGTGGCCCTGAGGGAGAGCTTCTCTCAAGAACCCCAGTGACAGGGGGGCAGGAGCAGGCATGGGAGGAGGTCAGGACTGGGAACTGGGACTGGGGCAGGACCAGGAACTGGCTCCAGGTGGGTGAGGAGAGTCTGGACGATTGCACACATTGTGTCCCTGCTGCAGCAATTCCATCCATGTGTCTCTCTGCCACTGCATGTCATCCTGAACCTTCAGGGCCAGGGACTCATGCAGAGCCCGGGATATGGAGACGTGCTCCTGCATCAGGTGTTCCTGGGTCCTTTGGCACCTGTGGCACCCGCAGTGCCAGGTGGCTGGCTCGGCTGCAGTCAATTGCCCCCCCTCACTGCTGGCCCGGCTGGGGACAGTGAAGAGGTGTTCAGTCATCCTTGGAGACACTGTCCCTGAGGTCTTGCCCTCATCAGTGAGCTGAGACTGACAGTTCCTGGGCCAGAGGAAGGTGATGTCCTGGGAGCAAGGCCTGCTCAGTGGGCCCTGCCTCACAGGGGTCCAGAGGAACCCAGGGGACCTTGCTTCCACAAACGCACCCCTCCTCCCACGGACAAGCAGGCAAGGGAAGTGTCCAGCCACACTGGGATCCCATTGGCCGGGGGAGGGGCCGCAGTCTGCATGCAGACAGGCATGCGCCCTTGTCCTGGGAAGCCAGCTCAAGGTTCATCAAGGTCATGGTGCTGGCCACATCAGTGTCCTCCTCCTCCTCCTCACCGTCTCTGACTCCCGAGTGGGCGAGGATGGGTGTCTCCAGCCCTGAGTCAACAACCAGGAGTGGGGAAGGGGCTGCACCACCCCCCAGGATGTGGTGCAGGTCTTAATAATAGGGGCAGGAGTGAGTCTCTTCCCCGGAGCAGAAGCTAAACTCCCTTGCCCTGGCGAAGCTCCTTCACTTTCATCCGGACCTGTTCCTGGGTCCATGCTGTGCCAGGTGTAGGGTCTGCTGGCTGGGTGCTGGCAGACTTGCAACTAGCACAAGCAGTGTAGCCAGACCATGGCCCTTTAAGGGCTCCGGGGTCGAGAGGGGGGGCAGAAGAGTTTCCCTGGTTTGGCCCAGAGTGGCCACCAGGGCAACCTGGGAAGGGCTAGCCTCCAACTAGTTCGAATAAGTGGCTACACAGCCCTTAATTCGAACTACTTAATTCGAACTAGGTGTTAGTCCTCATAGAATGAGGTTTATCTAATTCGAATTAAGCACTCAGCTAGTTCGTTTTAAATTCAAACTAGCGGTTTGCATATGTAGCACCTATCAAAGTTAATTCAAAGTTAATTCAAACTAACGGCTGTTAGTTCGAATTAACTTTGCAGTGTAGACATACCCTTAGTAGGTGATCTTTCAGTCCTCCTGCCTTCTAGGTCACAGGAATCAGATCACAGACTTACACAGTGATTTTATTAACAAAACAAAGAAAACAGATGTGGTAAAACATACTTGGTGGCTAGGTGTTACAGAGCAACTGAAAACAAGGGAGATTAAAAACTCAGAGCATTGCTCCCCTAAGATTCAGTTTAAAGGTTACACTGTCCCATGGGAGGTGGAGTAGTACATGGGCTCAACACAGAGGAGTGCAACACACCTAATAATAAAAACAATAACCAGATCATGTCTAACTAAACATTCCCTGTTCTATTGACATAGCTGTTGTTCCAAGGTTTAGTCTTTTCCTGGGCATGGATGTTGATGAATATTCCATGGCTTGTTTTCTGGCATAATTCATATCTATAGCTCTCCTCTAGTCACTCAGGGTATGTCTACACTACCCTCCTAATTCGAAGTAGGAGGGTAATGTAGGCATACCGCACTTGCAAATGAAGCCCGGGATTTGAATTTCCCGGGCTTCATTTGCATGAAGCCGGCCGGCGCCATTTTTAAATGCCGGCAGTTCGAACCCCGTGCCGCGCGGCTACACGAATTCATATCTATAGCTCTCCTCTAGTCACTCAGGGTATGTCTACACTACCCTCCTAATTCGAAGTAGGAGGGTAATGTAGGCATACCGCACTTGCAAATGAAGCCCGGGATTTGAATTTCCCGGGCTTCATTTGCATGAAGCCGGCCGGCGCCATTTTTAAATGCCGGCAGTTCGAACCCCGTGCCGCGCGGCTACACGCGGCACGGGGTGGCTTCCTAATCCGAACTAGCTGTACTCCTCGTGGAATGAGGAGTACAGCT